TTAAGGAAGAGCGAGTTGAGGTGAGTAATAAAATTAAATGGATATTGCTTTCCGTAATTCTGCAATTAATCTTTGTCTCACCTTATTTCCGAATAAGAAGTATCCATCAAATATCGGCAACATTATCCAATTCTCGGCATTTGCTCAATTAATCCCTATATCGATTCAAAACCACCTATGCAATATACCAAAAGGCAAAAACATACAACTCGTCTGTAACTCCGATTATACAGTCGCACAATCGGGAATCCATCTCAATGCGGCCGTGTGCGACGTGTGTGCATTAGGAACTTGGCCTTTGTCACCGCGGAGACATGTCGTTTGTCTGCCGAATCCGTACAATCCTGCAAACTCATGATACAGTTCGAATTCTTTGATCTTAAACTGATTGTGATCGTTGTACGCAAATCGATTTTGGGAATGAATTATTTTAGAACTCACCGCGGAAATAATCGATGGTTTTGGTAAATGCCAACATGTGGATAACATTCAGACAATACGTGAATTTGATAGGCATCGATATCAATGAACTTTAATGTAAAATCCAGTTATTATGTTGAATTTATATATGCCAAAGGTTATAATTGAAGAATGTTGATTAACACATGTTGATTAACACAACTCATCCAAAAAGCAATGATTGCAACAATACCGCATAACAAATAAAAAAACATTTTTCTATCATCTGACTTATCATGTTAATGCTATCTTGACTGGTATCGTAATTATCATTACTCAATAAAAATTTCAATATTTATTAACTTTGATTTACATTTATCTCTTTGATTCGGTTCACGTTCGAGCAATAGCGCTTCCATGAGATGATTTGTGATCTAAAATGCGCAAGAATATTACGTAACCACTATCAATTCGATTTGTGAGTTTGTTTTGGTTAATTCTTCTCTAATTGAGATATATGATATTGACATATCACATTGCGAGTTCCCCAGCTCGTATGCACTTGATGCCTCCCCTAAACTGGATGACAATTTTTCTGGGGTGCTAAATGGGTGATAGATATGCCAAAGTGTTATGATAGCATTTTGTCGTTAGGGTGATAATGCTTCCCGCAATACACTTTTATAGGATGTAAGCGATGTCAATTATTCAAAAGCACTATGAAAGTGTTGTTCTGTTTTGATAATATATCAACTAAGAAAGTATTTTTATTAAAATAAATAAATATGTTAGAAAGAGGATTAAATACGTACATAAATTTAAACGAATTATTATTAGTGGGTAGTGTGGACAGAAGCAGGCCCATTATATGAAAATACTAATTTCTCCCTTGTTTACAGTCAACTTTTTCATATATTACCTTTGATAAATTAAAAAAAACTTCGTTCTGTGCTTCATAAAATACCTGCATACTTTTCCTAATGTGGGTTCACCAGAGTTTTCTTTGCTTTCTTTCTTAGCAGTTCTATTTGTTACTTTACAATTTGTCGGACACAATTAAATATGCATAAATTAAAATACATCGTAAAATCTGTTATCAGGTATGATAAGTGATATATTTTAAAACTAGCTGATGTGCTTCAGAAACGTTAATAGTGCTAAATGAAACATACGTGTTATTATATATAGTTTTTCATATTTTTACTTCAATCTTTTTTATTAAATAATTAAAATAAATTTTTCTATTAAACCATTTAATTATGATCATTTGCACAATAAATTATACCAATTGGCTTGATGTTGAGTTTGAGTATGCTTAATTGCATAAGTAATATTAACAAAACCAAGTAATATTCGTAACAAAATCTACTTAATATTTATTTTCATATGAATAAAAAAACTACAAACTACTAAGGAAAATCGATATACAAAAGAAAAATTATCAAACTTCTATCGATATCTTCCTGTTCCATCAGACAGTTTTATTAAATAATTATAAAGGTTATATTGAAAGCTTTAATATTTTACTACCTTCCTAAGCTCAATAGTATTACTATGATACAAAACTCAGAAAAATGTTCTTGAGAAATTCTTCTTCTTGAAGTTTTTAAGAAGTAAATGTTCTTTTACTCAACATTCGTACCTTCATACTACATATTTTCATGCTACTGGGTTTCAAAAGTGATCTACATAAAAGTCGAATATGAGTGACAATATTTAACATCTTAAAAATCATTCAAAAAATTATTCCAACATCTTCCAGTACACATCTCTAATGACCACCTCCCGTGTCGCACCTGTATCCTAATACATCTAATCCTTGATGTTTGCTTATTAGAATTCCTTCAAACTAGGTTTGTGTACAAGCCAGAGGCGTTCATTCCATCTATATATATTAAAGAGAAAAAGCAAAAAAACATTCGATTATCTTGTGAAAGATACCTAACAGAAAAATAGATACCTAACCTATTAGAAAAAACATTAAGGAAGAATTGCATAAGATATCACTCCTGTATATAAAATAAAACTTCAAAGATTATTTGTCAAAAGTAAGTGATCGTTTAAGTAATTGGTAATAAATACTGTCTACATTGTTCAAATATTTAGAACAATGAATTTATGAAAATGTATCATATATTGAGTATCAAACCAATATTGAACAACCTATTTATTTATAAATAAAAATAAATAAACTAGTGGGGTGTATGGCATCGTGCCTTAAGCAAATTGCTGGAACTTCCCGTACCGTAATGAAATGTTCGAGGAATACTGAATGTTTTCAAATAGATTATTATTAATATAGTAACATTGTCTAATATTTAAAAGAATTATATAAACTGAATTGCAAAGTTGAAATTATTTATTTAAAGTATATTAGAACTATAGTCAGAATTAAAAATAAAATCGGAATTATTTTCGATATACAAAAATTTTTTTTTTTGAAAAAAAAAAATGAAAAAAAAAGTTGAAACAATTTTTTTTCCCAAAATCAATTATTTTGTTAAGACAAGCAGAAAGTTTTTTGAATCATTCAAATCGGACGCTTAGTTCTCTCAAAAACTGCCATTTTTTACACATTAACTCCGTATCTTCGAAATGGCTGAGTCTGCTTTTGCCAAAAACTAATAAACACTTTTCCCAATCATTACTAATTGAATGTTTTTTAGATAATTCAAATCGGATGCTCCATTCTCTCAAAAACTCGATTTCTATTTTCTGCACTCTTTGCTCTTTATCTCTGTTATTTAGTTAACTGCTGGACATGTCTTTGCCAAAAGCTTATCAATAGGAATCGAATGTTTTCTGAGCCATTCAGATCGGTTGATCCGTGCACCCGAAAACTGCTGGACCTGTCTTTGCCAAAAGCTTATCCATAGGAATCGAATGTTTTCTGAACCATTCAAATGGGTTGATCCGTGCACCCGAAAACGTGACTGGAAATTTGTATTCATACATACATACACACACGAACACATCCATTTTTTCTGAGGTATGCTAAAATGTTCAGACACCTTCAAAACGTCGAGAAATGTAAAAATTTTCAATTTCGATTTTCGGCCCATTACAATAACTTATGGGAAGTTAAATGTTCAACTAAAATTTTATTTGATAGAAAAAGTTTGCATCAGATATAGATTTATGAAAAGTAACACCATACAACTGATATTTTCTTTTTAAAAAGATTAGGCGTTTTACACATAAAATGCAACTTCACTCATATGTTATTATACCACATCACAAAGATGCAGTTATCGTGAGATTGTGCGTTTGATATTTGTGCGATTCCTAGGTTAGATATCTAGAAAAAAATGAAAAGTAAATTCAAAATTTTACATTCACGGTTGTGTCGCAATTAAATCGTTATCTTTTATATACAAAAGTTTCTCCCTACGCCTCTGACTTAATATTTCGTGGTACTCAATAAGAGTCCGAATAAGAGGTAGTCCGCATGTTTGTTGACATAAGGCAAACATAGGAAGGCGTACGAGATGACACCGCGACTCAACAGTAGCCGTGGTCAGTGTGGCCCTTATGTGTACCTTTGGGCAATGTTGATATAATCATAACCTACGGTGTTCAAATATACTTATGATCTACAAACCATTTCCTAGATGTATTTAATCTAATAAAATTCACTGAATAATTTGAATGGATGACCAAAAATTTTCCCATGCCCAGAAACGAATTGTCACACGAATTGGAGAATAGAGATGAAATATGTAGTATAACTATTTCCTCTAAATATTATTGTAATAATGGGCACTTTCAAGTATAAATCACTATACGTGCTTTTGATTTTAAATAAAATATTGAATTTTATTAAACCATTAATAATATTTAGCATATCTTAAAGTGATCAATTAATCGTAATATTATATGAAAGCTTGAATAACTTTGAAGCAATTTGTTTATGCAAATTTTGCAAAAATAAGGTTCAGGGTGCAGTAGTTTCTGCACCATACGTCGCAAACTTCATAACTTTTTTTTTCATATATAATATATGAAATGAATCATATTTCATATTTCATATATCATAATTATTATTTCATATAAAAATCGACAATATAACGTTATCTAATAAAATCTAATACGTTTCATCAAAATCTCGTTATTCTCGTTTTTTATAAGGTAATTTATAAGGTATCTAGGAACTTCTTATAGAGTTTTTTCCACCTTAAAAACTAATTAAATACCCTTAATTTTCCATAAAACCTGTGTAAGTAAATATATTAATGATCATTCAATTTTATATACCGATGCTTATAGTTCTCTTTTATGATTCTATTAAGTCTTAAGTTTACTTTTTGAAATATAGTTTACTAAATTCAAATAAACAGATGTATATAAATCTAAAGAAGTCTTAATTATTACTTATAATCATATTTTTTATATTAAATATGTATTAAACTTTGAGAAACATAATTCTTTACCACCCAGGACGATGTGCGGTACACAGTTTTTTTTCTGTATAAGGTCGGACTCTTAACTGCACTAAACACATAATTCTTAGGGATTTTAGAACAAAGCTAAGTATAAATGTATATTTATAGAATGATAAATAGAAATTTAAATAAAAATCCAATTTCCATGAATTTGATGACGTCCGTTTTTCTGTTTTACA